TAAGGCTGGGGGAAATTCAGCTTTTGTTGATGTTCTTGGAATACAGAGTGGCTGGTCGGGCACAGATGGATGCTGGCAGGTTGGCCATGACAGCTGTTGCTCTGGACCCTGGCTCACCTCCTGGGTCAGGGGCATCATCTGGTTGGTCTGTTCAGTTCCTCTCATTCACTGGTCCTTCTCAGGTTGGGCAATGCTGGATGGGCTGTCTCGTCTCACCAACCTGGTGCCGGGCAGTACAGCTGATTTCAGGATCAGGTGAAAAGCCGAGAGAGATAACACAGAAGGAAGATGGGGGGCAAACAGAAGTACACAAGGGAGGGGAAGACAGAGCAGGATCTCACATTTATCAGTTTGAGGTCCTCGCTTTTGCAGCACTGATGGTCAAGTGTCCCTACTGGAGTATCCGTGTGTCCCTACTGGAGTATCCGTGTGTGGTATCAGGCAACAATCCTTCCACTGCAGCTGCGGTGATGTCAGTAAGGTTTATTCTCCCCTCTAAAGTCTCTTTAAGGGCCCCCAAAGAGGCGATGGGTGGAATAATCCATCCACTCATTATTTTGTCCACCAAGCAGGCCTAATTTCCAACACACCGATTTTGGTTCATTGATTTCCAATCCTCTGCTCCTCTTGTTCACCAGTCATGACCTTAACACGGTCCTTCCGTGGGATCGGACGATCATTTCTGTTTAAATTAATTCAGTCAGTCTATCTCCTTCTCCTATCTTTTTTAAACATTTATATCAAAGGTCATTGTAACAATTCATAAACCTTTACCTACTTTTCAGCAGTTAGGCTAACAATTAACAAAGGCATGGTCTCGGCATATCTGGCTGTGGGCTTGATTCAGTCCCATTGATCTCAATGGACAGTCTTTCCATGACTGTCGCTGAACACAGAATCTGGTCCTAATGACTCTGCTATTCTTCCTTCTCCTTCACAAACAAGCTAACACGCAGGTTCTAAGAAAATCACAGCGACTGCTTTACTCTCCATTTGTACAATAGGATTCCGAAAGCTGAACAGAATTTTCTCCCTGACATTCCATGTGGAGCCGAATGAAAGTCTGATATTCCTTGTCACCTTTGTTTTGCTACTGAAGAGGAGTAAAGTCTTTATCAAGGTGAAAATCCGATCAAGAGGAATGAGCTGGGACTATGCCCTATGTCCACAAGCAGAGAGAAAGAGGGGACCATGTAGTCATAAAAATGGAACAAACTGAATTCTTAAAATGAAAAGGATCCTGTGATTAATCAGATCCTAGTGCTATGTGTTGTTGGATTCCACAGCTGTTTATTGTGTCCAAACCCACTTTGTATATCACTACCCACAGCACAAAATCCCCTAAATCCTGCAGTCTCATAGGCTTCAAAAACTCATTGAGTTGTGGAAACAGTTTGTTCCCTTGGAGAACACAGGATATGCATGCAGCTGTTGCAGGCATGCTGAGCATGAATGAGAAAATCTAACATCAAAACATGAAACAGAAAGAGAGAAACCCATGTGGGGTTGAGGGAGGCACACGGGGATCAGATCCAGAAGAAGGAGCCCACATAGAGGAATCCATATGCTAGGCAGAGCATTGTGAAAAGGACTTTGATGTCAATTTTATTCCAGGAACGGAATTCTGCAAGGAGAGATTTTATTTTATACTGCAGAGGTGCCTGCTGTAAAAATCTAAAAACACACCACCACCCATAGCCCTCATCAGCTGGTGGTAGCAAGGGCCCATCACCCTGCTACCAAAATGGAAAGCAACCCACTGTCACCGGCTTAGACTGTGCACCTTGTATGTAATTTAATGCAAACACAGCAGAAAGGCTTCAGATGTTCTCTCCCTCCTGACCGAAGGACTACATTGTTATACGCCCTTCATACCAGTCTGTACTCCCAGGTCATGTTGTACCTAACCAGCTCAGAAGGTCCTTCAGGGGCCACAGATGGGATCCAGACAGATTAGGGGTTGCCAGGGGTTAGCTATCAAAAACTAGTGGATATTCTGAAAGTCACCAGGCACCAATGACTTTAGCCCCTAATGAGCTCCTCTCCTTCCCACTAGACACCAGCCACATAGCCCACACCATCTGCGCTCACTGGACGCAATCACATTCAACGTAGGAAATCCATTTCAGTTAGAGCCATATAAGGCCCTGGAAAAATCATGCTAAACTCATAGTCTTAGTCCATATCGGCGGTTATGGACCAGCCAGGCTGCTTCCAAAAGGACCAGTCATTTCTGCACAGCAGCCAAACCCCACAGCATAGAGCTCTCCCCTCTCCCACAGCTTCTCTTTTGCTCTGTGTGTGGCCACAATTCTTCGCCCATGGCCATGTCTTCCCCCAGAATCATGGTACTTCTGCTAATGCCCTGAAAAGCAGGCCATAACCCAACTTGTGAGGGGAATTCATTTTATAGCTGAACAGTTGAGTAATAAACTCAGGTGTCCTCACAGGGCAAAGCCTTACTTTTATTAGGGTCATGCAGTGGTTTCAGAGCATGGGCTCCCTTCACTTAACGTAGGCCTTTCGCCTCATAGGTGTTGACAGAGTGGTCAACACTCGCAATTTTATGGTGAAATTCATGATACCGTGAATAAGAGACTTTAACCAATATCCTTGACAGCAAGGTTTGAAGCCTGGCCTATCAGACCCCTAGCTTAGGCCTCCTGAGTTCAGCAACTAAAGGAGGACTCAACACACTGCTTCAGAGGGTGACACAACTGTGCTAGATGCCAGGATCACCACGGACATCAGGAATCCTGGTCTGGGGAGAAAACACAACACCACACTTAGCCTTGGTTTGGGGAGAAGAGGGTAGCTTATTGGTTTGAGGCAGAACGTGCTTTTATCATCCTATCTGAAAGGCAGTGTGATGGCACAGCTAAGAATTGGATCTCTTATGTTACCATGAGTCTGGGTTCTGATTCCCAACCGCGCTTGCGGTGTAATCACTCTGTTAACTGTGAAATGAAACTGTAGCTCATACTTGGATGCCTAGCCTTGATTAATAAGGGTAGAAGGGAACACAAACCAGTCGGCAGAGGTGAGATCTGAACTCATGGCTATTGCCTCCCCCAGTTCAGGGAACTTCCCCATAGCTTACCTGGGTATTTGGTGGAGGAGACTAGTGTCTCTCTGCCTCCTCCAACAGAGGCTTTATACCTGCGGGTGTGTTACATCATCAGTACTAAATGCAACTACTCCCATCCCCCAAGCACCTACACGGAGCTTCTGCTGTCTTCCTGGAGAATCTGATTGGTTTGCAGTCTCCACCACTGACTCCCAGTGAGCCCATCCCTGGTGAATGGGATAAGCTGTGATGGAGTTTGGCTGTGACCAAATAGCGCCCCTGTCCCACTTGTACTTGCATTGCCTCTGGCCTGCGGAGAAAGCCAGAACTCCAGGCTGTCGGAACAGGAAGCTGTTCACCTTAAAGAACGCAGACTCCTTAGCCATACAGGATGTGGGAGCAGCCCAGCACTGGCGCCGTCAATGGGACCAAGGCTGAGAGAACTCCCTGAAAACGTTCCTGTCTGGGGCACTATATGAAAAGGCCAAGGGGTGAATGGACCTTGCCCCGTCGTGTCAGTACACAGTGCTGGATCGATGGGGAGAGGGATTTGGCAAGGTTTTGTTTGGAGGCAGATAAAGCTGGAGCTGCTTAGAGTCCTGGGCACGGGCCCCTTTTTGATCCACGTTAGGAGGTTAACAGGTCAGCGAAACCTAGCAGGGTGATTGTGCCTGAACGGAGCAGCGAGCCCTCCTGTTCCCTTGGGACGGTGCAGCCTTCGCCAGGGTACGTTGAGAGGGTGGAGCAGCCTGATCCCAGCATTCAGAAAATTGTGCTTTGAAGGAATCCTAAAAGTTAGAGGGAAGAGCCCTATTAGCTCTCCTCTAGTCCATCACCAGCTGCACCCCCTTTCTCTCCGGCCTCCCAGACACGCACATGCCCCCCGCCGGTTCACACAAAATGCTGCTACAGTTTGAAAACCCCCCCCCCGGATCCCCCTCAGCTACCACATCATATTCAAGCTTCTCCTCACCGCCTGCAAAGCTCGGCAGAACTGTGCCTCACCCTGCTTACCCAGATCCTCACCATTGCCACCTCTGCTCTGGCAGCAACGCCAGCGTCATCCGCCCACACGGGTCAGCTTCTCTCAGACATCTCCGTGCCTTCTTCCACACTGCCCCCTGCGGCTGGTCCAGCCTCTGTGACCTCCTCCTCTCTGGATTTAAAACCCTCTTGCAAACCCCCTTCTGCTGTGCTACTCAAGGAACTGAGCTGAACTCAGACCATGAAGCCCAGGACACTGGGAAGGGTGACCTTTCTCTGTCAGCGGCCTGCAGGGTGACCTTGGACAGCAGTTCCTGTTTTTTAAAATTTCATGATTTTTTGGAGCTTGACTTGTGAGCTATGAATGCTTGGAGCTGGTGATATTAGCTGGCACTCAACACCCTCCCATACCTACAGAGATTCAATTCCTTTCAAATTCAAACCAACCATAAGAAATGAAACGTGGGAAGCAAATGACAAGATGCGCCACTTCAGGCCAGAGAGTTTCCTCCAGAATAATCAGGGCTGCTTTTGTGTGACTCCCAGAACCGTGCTAGGTGCATTACAAAACATACAAAGGTATGTCTACATTGCAAAAAAAACCCAAAAACCCCACAGCAGCAAGTCTCACAGCCTAGATCAGCTGACTCCGGCTTGTGCTCTGGAGCTGAACACAGCAGTGTGGACGCTCCGCCTGAGCTGGGCTTTGCAACCTGGAAAGCGGGGAGGGTCTCGGAGCCTGGGCTCCAGCCCGAGCAGAAACGTCTACACTGCTATTTTTAGCCCCGTAGCTCAAGCCCAAGTCAGTTGATCCAGGCTCCAGACTCACTCCCATTGGTTTGTTGTTGCTGTGTAGACGTAGATTCCAGACTGAAGAGTTCATGAGTTTAAAATAGACCCAGATAATGATACAACTAAACAAGAAATCACGTTTTTTGGCTGTGAAATATTTTAAAAAATATTTAATGTTTGATGTTAAGGGTTTAAAATAAATATTTAAGCAGCTGTAAATATAAAGAAGAGTCCACTGTCATTACATAATTCCTCACATGAAAACTGTCCCAGGACATTTTGTCTGCCCTGCTGTAAGTGATAAATGGTTTGAAGTTTATACATACACACAGGCATGCAAACAGAGAATAAACTCCAAATTTTAATGTGTGGGGTTTTTTTGTTGTGTAGTTTTTTTGTTTTTGGTTTTTTATTTTGGTGGCAGTTCAGATCTTAGCTGGATACAGGAGCTGTAAAAAAAAAAGAGAGAGAGAGAGACAAACATTAAGTCTCTAATGCAAAAATGCATAATTTGTAACAACATTTGTATAACTGCAGCACCTAGGAACCCAGGTATGGGCCCGGATCCCACTGAGCTTGGTGATGTACAAACTCTGAACAAACAGACTCTCCCTGCTCCCAAAGGGATTATAATCTAAGTATAAAACAGAGAGGACAGATGGACACAGACAGAAAAGGGAGACAAGGAAACAGTGAGACACTATTAGTCAGCATGATAGGCGGAGGTGTCAGTCCACCAGCAGTCCAACTGTTGTCAAGTTAATCAATTAATCATAATTAGAGCTGGTTGGGAATTTTTCAATTAATTTTTTTTAAAGTGTTCACAAAAAACCCCACCCTGAGATCCCAGAACAGTCAATAGGCTGGGGTTGGGGCACTCAGCTGAGATTGGGGAACCCAGATACAGGTCCCCGTTCTATCTAATTCAGAGCAAAGACTGGAACATGAGTTCCCCATCCCAGGTGAGTGCCCCAAACCTCAGACTACTACTGGCTATTTTGGGGTGGGAAGGGGTGTTTATGTAGGTTTTTTCCCTCCCTCTTTTTGTGTGTGAAAACTTTCAAAAGGTCTCAGTTTTGTCCCAGTGCAGAATGGGAAAATGTCTGGAATCTCAACATTTTATGGGGAAAGGAAAAGTTTCCCAGCCAGCATTAATCATAACCTCTACAATACACCAGTGAGGATGCAACTATTCAATGGGGTTACTTGATATTAGATTCAAATCACCTACCTCCCACAGTGCCTCTTCCCTCCCCCTGGAAAAAAAAAAAATCTAAATACCTCCCAGGGACATTCTCCATCAGATTATACCAAACCGTAGGCAAGTTGCATCACTCCTAGTGTCTATTTAACATGATCATTGTACACATGGTGAAATCAGTTTCTTTCTATGGAGATAAACTCCACAGAGGGGGTAGTGTGTACTTGAATGTGCTAAACACAGTCCATTTTACTTGGAGCAGGGAGTTCACAAACCTGCACTGTAGGTACTCCACGTTACACAGGAACCTAGCGAAACTGATTCACACAAAGCCACATATCAAGATGCAAGATCTCTCTAGACCAGCTAGAGCACCCAATCACCATAGATACAGCCGTACCAAATTCAGGTCCGCTTTGGTCATGGGATTTTTAAAATCGTAAATGTCATGGTTTCGGATCTTTAAATCTGAAATTTCACAGGGTTGTAACCATGGGGTCCCAACCATGGGGGGCGGGGGAGGCGGGGGTGTCACAAGGCTATCGTCGGAGGGTTGCAGTCTTGCCACCCTTACTCCTGTGCTTCAGAGCTGGGCATCTGGCCAACATCCATGGAGCTTCCTGAAGCCAGGGGAAGATCCCCGAGGTGGGTCTGAGCTGGCCCTGAGAGTGGCCTGTGCCGGGGAAGAGAGAGTCCTGTCCCTCCCCGCCTGTCCGGGACTAGCAGTTGGAGCTCAGTGCACAGTCGCAGCCCCCAGCTCTGCCTCTCCCTGACTCCAGGCCCCGTGCTCAGGAGTTAAAGGGGCCACTGGCTGGCTGGCTGGCTGGGTGTGTGTGTTAAAGGGGCCTCGGGCTGGCTGTGTGTGGGTGTGACCACGGGGCCCTGGGCCGCCGCCCACTTGCCCACCTGTAAGGCTGGGCCTCCCTCCCTGCCCCCCAACTTGACAACCCCCCCGTACCATGCCACCTTTACTTCCGCGCTGCTGCTGGCAGCAATGCTGCCCTCAGAGGTGAGCTCCCTCCCGGCCAGCAGCCGCTGCTCTTCAGCTGACCAGCTCTGTGAACTCTAGTCTCCTCTACAATAGCCAGATTTCCTGGGGGCGACCAGATTTCATGGTCCGTAATGTGTTTTTCATGGCGGTGAATTTGGTAGGACCCTAACCATTTATGCTGCTACTTTGCCACAACTTTTCAGAGCTCTGCCTCCCCCCTGACTTCTCACGGCAGCTGCACCATGCAAATCAAAATTCTGCTGATGCACAGGGATGGAGGGGACCTAGGAAGCTGATGCAAAGTCCTCTAAAGTCCCCGGAGGACTTGCCATTGATTTCAGAGGGGGTCGGATCAGGCCCCTAGCATGCAGTGTAACAAACAGGGCTTGGCTTGTCGTCGTCTACCGGTGGCCCTGAGTATTGGTGTGGAGGACAGCCTGGTAAATGCCACCCTGCCAAGGGTTAATGGCAACAGAAATACTGTAAGGTGAACTAAAGGGAAGAAAGGGACTGTTGCTGGATTGCTGGAGCAGCAGCTCTCCCTGCTGACGACAGCATGCTCAGAATCTAGCTGCTAGCACGAGTTTTGTTATCCCATCGAGGGGAGCATATATGGCACCCCAGGGATTTGCGCAGCATTGCAGGACTGTGCGCGTGGCCTGGGGAGGAAGGGGGTGTCCTATAAAGATCTGTCTGGCCTAGGGTTTTCTATAGCACCATTACCACAGTATCTAAGCCCCCCCCGCTCCCCTCCCACTGCTCTCCCCATCCTCCTTCCCCCAGCCCAGCACAGCCTGCTTGCAGTCCCAGGCAGGGAGGAAGGGGAATTTCCAAACTCCTGCCAGGGGAGAGTTGTGGGAGTGGGGAAGGCATCTCAGGCAAAAGTATCTGCAGGAGTTGGCCTGCCTGGGAGCACTCCTCCAACAAGTATGCTAGGAGCAGCCGGCGAAACGGGTTTGCTCGTGCAGTAGCAGCATGTGGATGTTGCTATGAAGGGACGGGCTGAGATGCACCCACCTTCCAGGCACATTGCAATGCGGCCTAAGGGAGCCTGTCCTCATACCGTCTTTCATATCCTGTGTTGCACACACCCAAGCTGAGTCGGATGGTAACTGGATCCTGGGGAGTCATTTCTGGGGGGAGGGGAGGAACACAGTGTAAATGCCGCTGGCTTGGGGAGCATCAGCCGCAAGGTTGGGGCTGGGCCGAGCATGAACCACTGAGCAGAGGAGCCTGCGACACGCCTTTGCAGAAGAGCCACACCACCGTGCAGCCTCTCCCACCTGTTCTTCCTCCCAGCGCATGCTGTCGCCAGCAATCCCAGCTTCTCAAGTGGATCACAGAGGGGATCCAGCCAGGCTAAGGGATCAGAAGGGACTCGCTGGCACCTATGTGAGGACTCTCCGGTCTCGAACCCAGGCCCCCAGACAATCCTCAGATGGCGACCTGCACCCAGCAGCTTGCTGGTCCCAGAGTGTAGGCTGGTGGACCCTCGCTCACCATAGGCCCCACCCACGAAGCTCCCAACGGTAGGAGACGTCCAGCCTCTCAGATTGGCGCAGACTCACTATTTAAGGCAGGAGGTGGCACAGGAAGTTGTCCAAGCAACAAGGTGAATCCCTGGCATGCAACAGGACCCTGCCTTCTCCACTACCTTCGGAGCCCTGCCTTGCTCCTGTCCTCTAGCCTCGACCCAGATCCCTGCTGCTACACTCCCCCCCCACCACCACACCCCCCAGCTTGATTCCTGACTCTAGCTCTGACCCTTGGCTTGACTCCCCATTCTGTCCCCGCCTCTGACCTCCGCTTTCTGGCTCACGATTGCCAGCGCTGACCGCCTACGTCCCAGTTTATGACAGCACCCAGCTCTCTCCGACCTGCTGGGCAATGACTGAACGTCCCCCCCCAAACCCTACTCAAACAGAGCCCGACCTACAATCCTCCTCGGCACTGATTTAACATGCCCCCTGCCCTCACACCAAGTAGGGCTGGTGGACTGGGGCAGGTTGCCCCTATGTAAAAGGCCCAGACATTTATTGACACCACCACATAGTTCCCCAAAAACCCACGGACACCGACTGGATAGCCCCTGAACCAAGACTTTTTCCTCAGAGCTCTCACACACATGCAAGATGCCTCCTCTCCCATCTCCTACTCAAGCTCTGTCTAGCACATGAGCTCAGCTTCCCAGAGCTGCTTCCTCCTGTCAGTTAGCAACAAGGAGCAGCAAATCTACAGGGCTCCGAGCCATGCAGCTCGAAAGAGCAGCTCCTGATGTACTTTCTTGAAGGCTCTCCTCAGGCCCTGCAGCACCATGGGTTGCTGAAAGGGATACGGCGGTTCCCCTTCCCCAGTCTAGTTTCCAGCTCATGTGCCCCCCATGCCCATCCCAGCCTCCCAAATACCGCCTTGCTCAGCTCCACCCTGGATGCCCACATCCCTGATTTTCATGTCTCTCTGGCGTGTCTCTTCACTCCTAACTCTGCTTTGATCTCTGCTTCCCCTCTGCACCCAGCTCAGACTTCCACATTTCCTTCCACCCACCTAGCTCTTTGTCTCTCCTCCCCAGCAAGACCTGCTCTTAAGTCCCCCTTCACATGATGCCTAGCCCTGTGTGACCTCCGACCCCTCCAGTACCTTCTTGGCCCTTCAGAACTTCTCTCAGGGCTCTGCAGGCAGCTCTCTTGACCTCCAGGGTCCCGTCTGGCTGGCCTGGGCTATAAACAGCTGCTTCCACCACCAGTTCCTGGAAGCCACCATCTAGCAAGCACTGCATTCTCCTTAGCGCCCCTGCCGCCCGTTCTGATTCCACCTGCTGGTGCTGCAGGTCTGGCTGGATCATCACCAGTACCAGAGCAGCTGGCATGCAGGGAAAAAGATTCCTTAAGTTCCAGAGTGTTTCATCCAGGTGTTCCCACTGCATGAGCTGCCTCAGCGTGGCCGATTGCCAGAGCATGAAGACCAGCTGTGGTTGCATCTCCTGCTCTTCCTCCTTGATTTCCTCCTTCCGGTGGAGTTTGGCCTCTAGGTCAATCCCTCTGAAGAGCGCCTGGGCAAAGTCCATCTGCACAAGCGGGGCTGCCTCATGTACATCGTCCATCTCCATCACTAGCACCTGGCCGTTCCGCCTGCCCACAGTGTCCAGCAGAGTCAGGAACTGCCCGTGCACTGGCTCTGCCGGGGAGCACACAGGCATCTCCCCTAGCAGCTCCGACTCCATATCTTCCTCTCAGACTACAGCGTCACTAGAATGGCAAGTGGCTTGTTACAGGGAGCGTAAGGCAAGCCTATGCCAATGTTTCTGTGGGAGTGGAAAGTGTGTGCAGAGAACAGCTAAGGCTCTGTGGGTCCCAGGCCAGGTAGACAGCTCACCCTAGTTCAAGCAGAGCACATAAAAACAGCAGTGTGAACATTACAGCATGGGCTAGCTGCCCTAGCCCAAGCCTGCCCAGCTAGCCCAAGTCACAACATCTACAGTGATTTTTAGCATGCTAACTCTGCTTGAAGTAGCCTGAGTCTCTTTACCTGGGCTGGGAGACTTGCTCTCAGCTGCGGTGTAGACATGAACTGCTCACAAAGAAGCAGGTTAGATATTGTGGGTTTATTCGACAAGGGATCAGAATTCTTGCAAAGCGAAGAGGAAAAATAAGAACAAATGGGACCTTTCACTACAGGAGGATCCAAAATTGGTGTCATTGGCCATTTTTGCAGTGAGCAACCCAGGCCGTTGGAGGTGCAATGCATACTGTATACTGTATACACATCCTCCCTGGGAGGCAGAACAAAGAGGAATTGCCAGTCCAGTTCAGACAGGAGCTTATCCAGCACAGTATGTGATCACCAACAGCGTCCAGGAACAAATACTGCAGCAGAATAGGCTAGAATCCAGGTGATATGAAAATATGGAATAACTCAACCACTGGGAAGTTTCTTACTAACTTCTTATGGCTGGAAGCATAACAATCTCTCCTCCCCGGCCCTCCCAATCTAATGGGGCTTGCTCATGTCATCCATATATCAGATCCTGGTAAACTCTTGGACTCTGGTATCTTGTGGGAGAGAATTGCACAGGTTGTGTTTTGCTTAAAAGAAAAACTATCGGTTTTAAAATTGTTGCCTTTCAGCTTCCTTAAATGTCCCGTTCTCAGAGTAAGAGAGGCCCGCCAGGGAGAGCAGATTTTACCTTCTCTGCATCTCTACGTCCCCTCCTCCTCTTTGTTGCCTCTATAAAGATCTTAAACTTCTCACTCTCCCCTCACAGGCCACACATCTAAACATGATTTGTCACCTCTGACCAGCTTTAATTTCTGCTGTATCTTTTAAAAGAGATTACATTTAAATAGCTTGAGACACAATGAAGAGCCCAGAAGTTCTTGCTTCAGGGCCTCAGACAAGGTGAAAACTGGCTATTGTATACACTATGCTACCCTGCCTCCAGAGGCAAAGGAGGGGAAGAGAACATGAAAGACTTTCCCCTAACAAGGGAGGTTGGGAGAGACAAACTCATACTTCTCACACCAGAAATAGACCAGAAGGTGAATTATACACATTGTGTCACTCACCAGGAAAAGGACATATAATCGATATTTAATAGATTAGCAACAGTTCCACTGCCAGATTAAAAAGTCCCTGATTCCACAAGCATGAACAGAGGGCTACATTTCACTAACACAATGTGACTGAGTATCAATTTTCAGCATCTTAAACAGGATTAATGTACCTGTTACCTATGGCCAGTTCTAAGGTAACTTACCTGTGTTACCATCTAGAGAGGAAAGATTTTTCTAAGAGTCTTGTAATCAAACTGTTTGCAGTAGGCAAATTTGCTGCTCAACTGTATGTGGATTGGCCAGGTGATCTCTGATGTCACAATCCCACCCTTTCCCAAAATGACCTGTTACTCTTGAAATCAAACTTAAATTATTTAACATCTGTATTATGATTAATGCCTAGTGGTCCTGACTTGGGGCCCTATTGTGCTAGGCACTTTACAGTGACAGCTTCTGCCCCAAAGAACTTACAATCGGTTTTCTTCCCTGCATGTTTAACAAACCCAGTCCTAAACATACATGAAGTAAAGTAAATGCAGTATATTGATTTTAAGCCAGTTTTCAGAAGGGAGAGAGGTAAATAGTGGTGTCTCCCAGGGGTCTGTACTGAGACAAGTCCTATTCAACATATTCATAAACGACCTGGAAAAAGGGGTAAACAGCGAGGTGGCAAAATTTGCAGACGATACAAAACTACTCAAGATAATTAAATCCAATGCAGACTGCGTAGAGCTGAAGGGATCTCACGGAACAGGGTGACTGGGCAACAAGATAGCAGATTAAATTCAGTGTTGATAAATGCAAAGTAATGCACACCAGAAAACATCTCAGCTATACATATAAAATGATGGTGTAAATTATGTTACCACTCAAGAAAGAGATCTTGGAGTCACTCTCTCAAAACATCCACTCAATGTGCAGTTTTCAGAGTAGCAGCCGTGTTAGTCTGTATCCACAAAGAGAAAAGGAGGACTTGTGGCACGAGACTAACACATTTATTTGAGCGTAAGCTTTCGTGAGCTACAGCTCACCTCATCGGATGCATACCGTGGAAAAATAGTGGGGAGATTTTATATACACAGAACTTGAAACAATGGGTGTTACCATACTGTGATCAGGTAAGGTGAACTATTACCAGCAGGAGAGAAAAAAGCCTTTTGTAGTGACAATCAAGGCAGGCCATTTCCAGCAGTTGACAAGAACGTGTGAGGAACAGTTGGGGGGAGGGGGGAATAAACACAGGGAAATAGTTTTACTTTGTGTAATGACACATCCACTCCCAGTCTTTATTCAAGCCTAAGTTAATTGTGTCCAGTTTGCAAATGTCATTACACATTACGGTGTGTATGGTAACACCCATTGTTTCATGTTCTCTGTGTATACAAAATCTCCCCCCTGTATTTTCCACTGCATGCATCTGATGAAGTGAGCTGTAGCTCACAAAAGCTTATGCCCAAATAAATTTGTTAGTCTCTAAGGTGCTACAAGTCCTCCTTTTCAATGTGCAGCGGCAGTCAAAAAAGCTAATGATGTTGGAAATCATCAAGAAAGGGATGGATACTAAAAGAGAAAAATCCATGGTACACCCATACCTTAAATACTGTGTGCAGATGTGGTCGCCCCATCTCAAAAAAATATATTGGAATTGGAAAACGTACAGAAAAGGGCAACAAAAATGATTGGGGGATGGAACGGCTTCCATATGAGGAGAGATTAATAAGACTGGGACTTTTCTGCTTGGAAAAGAGACGACTAAGGGGGGATATGATAGAGGTCTATAATAGGCAGCAAGTTTAAAAACAAAAAGTATTTCTTCACACAACGCACAGTCAACCTGTGGAACTCCTTGCCAGAGGAAGTTGTGAAGGCCAAGACTACAACAGGGTTAAAAAAAGAACCAGAAACCCAGTATGGCCCTTATGTTCTTAAATAAGAATTTTTTCTTGTTAAAAGTCTAGCGGATAACCAATATCTCACAATCCTGGAAAACAGCAAGTCAAGACTTGTGCAGAGGAAACATGCATTGTGGTGATGGAGAATGAAGGGATTTCAAACAGGTGTGTAACTAAACTACATAAAGTGGAAGTAAGTTAAGAGGTAGGTGAGAACCAAAGAGGATTGTTCAGGGGTGCTAAAGTCCTGTTCTTCGTGAGTATCTCAAGAAGCCACTACATCTTTAAATGTGAGTTGAACCAATCTGAATCTTGGCAAATAAACTGAGTTCTGTATTACACGTGAAATTACAAACTGTAACTGTACAGAACTGTATTATCTACATCGATTTGTCAGAAGAATCATCAACCAGTGCAAGAGAAACAAAACTTTGAGCTTTCATTTTAGTAAGCAGGCAAAGTGTTTTTCAAATACTGTATGTAAGTTGCATTTGTTTTCAGTTTACATGCACAATTTTGAGATGTTAAACTTTTATTGAAGAGCACTTAGATACCATGATGGGAGTTACAGGAAAAAAGCCACAGGTAGATAACAGCCATTCATTGTGATCTATTTTCATTTAAGAGGTAATTTTCTCTTTTGATGCTTTGGTCAGTAACAAATCCAATTCCTCCCTTTATCATCTGCTATTACTAGGCCATTGTCCTGTTTTGTGGATTATGTAACACTTGTAGAAACAACTGAAAGTGAACTAGTTATCCCCCACACCAGCTGAAGGTCATAAGAAATCATTAAAAACAAAATATACAAAAAGGAACAATTTCTGAATTTTATTTTTAGTAAAAATTTAGATCCTAGATGGATACAGCATCTGAAAAACAAAAACATCAGGTTAGATCTTGTTACTAAACTAAAATGTTAACACACATTTCTAATTAATCATTCTCTAAATACCCATGCAGATAGCTAGGAGTCTGCATAGAGAATTCTTTGACAGGTTACTGGTCTAGTGGATGGAGGGAAGCGGTAGGTGTGCTATCTTGATTTTAGTAAGGCTTCTGATACGGTGCCACCTGACATTCTCATTAGCAAAGGAGAAAAATGAGGTCTATACAAAATTACTGTAAGCTGGTGCACAACTGGCTGAGACCATTCTCAAAGAGTAGTTACCAATGGTTCATTATCAAACAGGGATGTGGTATTTGGGGGTGGGGTCACGCAGGGGCCTGGTACTAGTCAATATTTTCATTAATGATTTGGATAATAGATTACCCAAATAAATATGCTTATATAATTTGCAGGTGACTCCAAGATCTAACTATAATGGTAGATAAGCTCCGGAATAGGCTTACAAGGCAGGATGTGGAAGCCGCACCATTGGAGGCTTTTAAAACAGGTTGGCCAAACACCTGTTAGGAATGGTCTAGATTCTCTTGGTTCTGCCAGAGCAGGGGGCTGGACTAGATGACCTCTCAAGATTCCTTCCAGCCCTACATTTCCTGAAGTAGTGATGATTCCACATCAGGGGTGGGCAAATGTTTTGGCCCGAGGGCCACATCTGGGAATAAAAATTGTATGGCGGGCCATGAATGCTCACGAAATTGGGGCTGGGGTGTGGGAGGGGGTGAGGGCTCTGGCTGGGGTTGGGGCCAGAAATGAGGAGTTCAGGGTGCAGGAGGGTGCTCTGAGCTGGGGAGGGTGAGTGGGAAGGGGTGCAGGCTCCATCTGGGGGTGCAGGCTCTGGGGGGGGGCTGGGGATGAGGGGTTTGGCGTGCAGTAGGGTGCTCTGGAGGGGGATCAGGGCTGGGGAGTGGGAAGAGGCTCAGGGGTGCAGGCTCCGAGCAGTGCTTACCTCAAGTGGCTTCCGGAAGTGGCGGCATGTCCCTTCTCTGACTTCTAGGTGGAAGCGCTGCCCCATCCGCAGGCACCACCCCTGCAGCTCCCATTGGCTGTGGTTCCTGGCCAATGGGAACTGCAGGGCGGCACTTGGGGTGGGGGCAGCTTGCAGGCCCATGGCTGCCCCTAAGGGTAAGGGCTGGAGGTAGGCAATGCCGCTGCTTCCGGGAGCCGTGTGGAGCGGCCTGACGCTGCTCCCTGGGGCAGGCAAGCCCCAGACCCTGCTACCCAGTGGGAGCTCAAGGGCTGAATTAAAATGGCTGGCGGGCCGGATTTGGCCTGTGGGCTGTAGTTTGCCCACCCCTGTTCTACATGGAAGAATGAAAGAGCACAGAACATGGCTCAGTCTTTGGCAAGTGCTCTTTGCAGGGGTAGCCCATGCACAATCTTCGAACCTAGCTGGGGGAATGAGAGGATAACTGCTCTCTTTTGCCCAGCTGCAATGAAGGATAGTACTTGTGCTCCTCCTACAGTGGTTTTTCTACAGGATAACGAAAGCTGAGCAGGGTCACATCTCACTCTGATACTGTTCTTGACAATATCATTAGGATGACAGTGTGTACAGGAGCAACAGTTTGAGTGGTGAGAGACAGCCAGCCAAGGAGGAGGTTATCCTGGAGGTGCATGGGTAACAGCACATGTGAGTTTTGGGTCCATGACTGGACTTGGGAGAGATTCATTTAGTCCTCAGCCAGAAGCAGGGCTGATATGGTGAGGGCATTTGGGAAGATAAGGGAAAGAAAAATAAAGACCCCAGAACACCCTGACCCAAATAAAAGGGAGAGTGGACCAGGAGACTCGGGAGAGAGGAGAAGAAAGAATTAGATGTACAAAGTTTGAGGGAGAGGGAAAAGAAAGCAAGAGTAAATAATCTTTGAGGGGTGATTACAGTGAAGTTAAACCTTTCCCATTGCCAGAGTACAGGTCCCAACATGCACCTATGACAGGCCCTGTGGAAGATGCACACTGGAAACAGGGGAAAGGGAATTTTTGTATATTTCCCCTCCACCAATGTAACATTTTCTCAGTGTTCTTTGAAAATCTTATATCCCAAAAGGTATAATTTAGTTAAAATAAAATTATCACTATAGGTTCAAAGCTGTTAGGAAAAACTACTCACCACTCTGATTCTGTGCCCAATGGCCTTGGCAGGAAGGTTGGACCGGAACTTGGCACGAACCATGCCACTGTTTCCATGGGCACGTGTTACTTTCCCCCAGATCACTCGTGTTCTGTTGGGCTTCCCACCAGGAGTCACGGTATTGCTAACAAACAGAAGACTGTTAACTCCTGGGCATTCCACTCCAAACCAAGTGACGGTCTACTTAAAGCAACAGTGGCAGGTTAAAAACATCATCTTTTAAAAGAAGTTTCATTCCCTCTATTGTCATGGCTCCCTTGGAACGGTCAAACTCAAAGTTTAGAAACATTTATTTGATCACTCATAATGCAGATTTGCTTTCATCCACGCTGGGAGAAACGCACATTTTGAAGAGATTTTTTGGTGATCTCATTAGCGTGAGGTTGTGATGTTTGGATTGCAAATACAGTAGGGCAATGGGTTTAAACCCAAATATAAAAGCACGAAAACATGTCTGTACATTTGCCCCATCAAGTTGTGGGCGAACCTAACAGTGTCCCTTTACAAAACATCCTTCAAGCAACAGTATTCTACCTGGCTTATATGAAGTCAGTAATTTACAGAATTAAATCAAACTAAATAGATATAAGCCAGTTGGCAAACTTGTTGAGTTGTGTCCACACAGAGATTTGCACCAGTTTAAACTAAATCAATTAGTTAAACCAGTGCAAGTTTTGTGTGTAGATTAGCCTCCTATCTTAGATTTACCTTTCAGAACTGCTATGTCTGGGATTTGCAGGCTTCAATCACTCCCCCCTGATCCATTCCAAACACTGTATCTATTTCCAGTACTGGTACTAACTGGGGAAAGTATTCTGCCTAGTGATTTATTGGATGATTTGCAAATAACTATAATATATATTCACGCAAACAATATTACACATTAGAATTCTTGATTATCACTACAAAAGGTTTTTTTCCTCTTCTGCTGGTAATAGCTCACCTTAACTGATGACTTTCGTTAGTGTGTACAACACCACCCATTGTTTCATGTTCTCTGTGTGTGTATATATATATATATCTATCTTCCTACTGACAGGTTTCAGAGGAACAGCCGTGTTAGTCTGTATTCGCAAAAAGAAAAGGAGTACTTGTGGCACCTTAGAGACTAACCAATTTATTTGAGCATGAGCTTTCGTGAGCTACAGCTCACTTCATCAGATGTTGAAGTGAGCTGTAGCTCACGAAAGCTCATGCTCAAATAAATTGGTTAGTCTCTAACGTGCCACAAGTACTCCTTATCTTCCTACTGTATTTTCCACTGCATGCATCCGATGAAGTGGGTTTTAGCCCACGAAAGCTTATGCTCAAATAAATGGGTTAGTCTCTAAGGTGCCACAAGTACTCCTTTTCTTTTTGCAGATACAGACTAACACGGCTGCTATCAATAACCTTAGTGTTCACTAGCTTTAAATTCACATATTAACAATCTAAACCACTGGGAGCACAGCTTAAAGCCATATGCAACGGTAATTACAATTCACATCATGTAATAAGACTCTAACCTATCCCCAGACCACCTGCAAGAAAAATCAAAACCCTCACATGGTCCAACCCACTTCTGTTAAAACACAAGAAGAGAAATGCTTCACTCTGTGTGTCTGGCAAACTATCAAAGGGGAGAAGAGGGCTTCCCACTAAGCATGCCCTGATTCCCTCAATCCTTTTAGATGTATTAATGTAGAAGTTATCAGTTTGAGTGACTCCTGTGACTTTAACTGTAGAGGAAAAGGAGAGGTTTCTAAGATGTCCAGGTCCAAATCAGAACCTTGAATTGCACTCAGAAACATAATAAAAGCCAGAATGGTCTCTGGAGCACAGGGAAAAAGCACTCGCTGTTTGAAATATTCTAAATGGGAAACCACATTCTGCACTAGCTGTGCCTTAAACCAGTGGTTTCAACCTTTTTTCATTTATGGACCCCCCTAAAAAATTGCAAATGGAGGTGTAGACCCCTTTGGAAATCTTAGACATAGTCTGTGGACTCCCAGGGGTCCGTGGAACCACAGATTGAAAACCACAGTTCTATGGTAACACCTTTTTGTGGACCCCTCACACATAGTCTGCAGACCCTCAGGGGTTCGAGCACAGGATGAAAATCACTGCCTTAAAGTAATCTAATCAGGAAATAACAAAAGCACAGATATCTGCATCAAGGTCCACATCAATAGAAAAATTCAACCTGCTATGCAAGTAGAGAAGGGAATAACCACAAATGTATCAAACCTACAGTACTTCTGGGGCATCCATCAGCATAGTAACAGCAGCAGCAATGATGGTGATCAGTTATATGCACTCCCAGAAGCAGATGAGGATTGATTAAATCCCTTCAGGTTACAAAGCAAACCCTCACTGAAGGGGATGATATTAATTCTGTCACTTAAAGCACTGAAGTACAACAGTGAAGGACACTTCAGTCCAGTCCATTACTGATTTGACTTCAGTTCACACCAGTATCCTGGAGGCGAGAAGACTCATGTCCAACCCATCACTCTTACCAGAACCATTAGTCTTCTAACCCAGCATTTCTACAAGAGCAATCATACTGATGTTTAACACATTATCATTTAATAACTGAATTAATTTGGTACCTAGAATTGTGAAAGTGAAAACTAAATCCCCAAAACTGAACCCTGTCTTGCACGATTCTACTTGGCCATTTTGTTTGTTTCACCATTATCATGGCAACAGGTATGCAAATACATTTATTGTGGCCTGATCAATTTTTAAGACAATTTTTACAAGTCCTATTTGGCATAACAACAAGGAGTTCAGCTACTTACTTTTTAGCTTTGTATACATAGGCGCATCTCTTGCCCAAGTAGAATTCAGTCTCATCACGGGCATAAACTCCATCAATTTTCAGAAGGGCAGTGTGCTCCCTCTGATTTCGGAGGCCACGCTTATAGCCAGCAAAAATGGCTTTGGACCACAGTCTAGGAAATATTGAGCACATTAATGAATCACCAACCACTAAAGCGTACTGCAAGTGAATACGTTTTCTGAACAAAACTTTCTGAAATAATTAGATATCATGCTAGTAGAAAGCATACAGGGGAAAAAGGAACAGTGCTTCACTTGAGCAAATACCCCCACATTCACAAAGTGCAGCTTCTTTAGCACAAGACATCAATTATAAAAATCCTGCACTAGCCTTCTCCTTCCTTCCTTTTTTGTACTAGAACCATTTCTAAAAAACGTTATTTTCATTTTTTTAAACACACAAACACTTGTTCCAACATCCCAAAGGGATAGACAGTATATTCCATACATGGAGAAATAGATTAAGAACTTGGGGCCTGCTATCCCACAAAAGTCACCATGTCAAATAACTTAGTTAAAATGTTCTCTTTCAACATGGTTAAATCATAACTGCATCCCAGCGTCAACGGGTGGGAGAGAACATAATCGTGTCCGCTGTGACCAGTCCAAGTCTTTAGCACAATTCAGGACACTTAAAATATGTTTAAGGTCTTCAATATTGATAAATGCAATAATACACATTGGAAAACATAACCCCAACTATCATATAAGATGGGGTCAAAATTTGCTGGAACCACTCAAGGAATAGATCTTGGAGTCATTGTGGATAGTTCTCTGAAAACATCCACTCAATGTGCAGCAGCAGTCAAAAAAGCAAAATGTTGGGAATCATTAGGAAAGGGACAGATAGTAAGACAGAAAATATCACATTTCCTCTATATAAAACCATGATAAGCCCACATCTTGAATGCTGTGTGCAGATCTGGTCACCCCATCTCAAAAGGTATATATATTGGAATTGGAAAATGTACAGAAAAAAGCAACAAAAATGATTGGGGGATGGAACAGCTGAGGAGAGACTAACAAAACAGGATTTTTCAGCTTGGAAAAGAGATGACTAAGGGGGGGATATGATAGAGGTCTATAAAATTGTGATTGGTGTGGAAAAATTAAATAAGGAAGTGTTATTTACTCCTCCTCATGACACAAGAGCTAGGGGTCACCAAATGAAATTAATAGGTAGCAAGTTTAAAACAAACAAAGGGAAAACAAAGGTTCTTTACACAACCTGTGGAACTCTTTGCCAGAGGATGTTGTAAAGGCCAAAATTTATAACAGGATCTCAAAAAAGGAACTACCTAAGTTCATGGAGGATAGGTCCATCAATGGCTATTAGCCAAGATGGGCAAAGATGCAAAACCATGTTCTGAAGCGTCCAGTCTGTTTGCCACAAGCTGGGAATGGGAGACACAGGATGGATCACTTGATGATTACCTGTTCTGTTCATTCCTTCTGAAGCTCTTGGTATCAGCCACTGTCAAAAGACAGGATACTGGGCTAGACAGACCATTGGTCTGATCCAGTATGGTCGGTTTTATGTTGAGAAACTATGTTTAAGCAATTATACTATAAAGGGGTTTCTTAACTTAGTTACTTTTAAAGTAGAGATATGTCCAGGCTACACTTAACTCCATAACCAAACTGTAACACAGGTAATTGCATATGCAGTTTGCATCCATGAACAAGACAAGTAGTTTCCAACTGTAACACAATCAGCAGGTTGCAATCAGATTCTAACAACTCTTGACGCACAGACAGGCCCAATTACTATGTCCGTGTGACCTAATTATCCAGTCCTTCTTCCTCGGTCTGTGCAGAGCACTCTGCGAACTGCAGTGCGCTGTGCAGCAGCATGGGATAAGCGTCAAGATGTCTAAGAACATACTGATCCAGACACAACTGTGCAGTGTAACAGGCCGGGCAAGATTTTCTAGCTGACAGATGTTTGGGACGGGAAGAATAGTATCGATCAGGACAACCACATCACAACGGAGGGTCAGAGCTTAGTGAGGTTTAACACAACACGCTCTACAGCTGAGATGGGGCTAGGGAGAGGAAATGTGTGTGATTTATGAAGCCCGCCCCCCCAGCCAGTGTAACGTGTCCAGCGACAATGAAGGAAGTTTTCAGAGCCCATCGCTCACCTTCCAGACATGGTGTCGTCCTGAAGTCCTGCTCCCAGCAGGCCTGCGAAGCACAAAAAGACTTTAGCCGCCACACTCGGGAATTTAGCACCAAGCGGCTGTATGACCCCCCCCGCGGCGGCCGGCACGTCCCTCGGGATCCCGGGCTCCCCCACTAGGCGGCTGGAGAGGGGAGCAGCACCAGGGGCCCCCAGCTAGAGCCCGGCCAGTTGAGGGGGGAACCCAGCTCTGCACCGGCCGCCTACGTTAGCCAGGCCAGGCCCCCACCCCGCGGGCCTTATCAGGGCAGCAGCCCCGCGATGTCCAGTCAAGCCCCCCGGGCCCCTCTCGGGCGAGTGAGAGCCGGGAGGCGCCGGGTTCGGAGCCGGCTCAGCCCAGGGCCTAGCACCATCCGCCCCGCATCGGCTTCATCCCGCCGCCTGCCCGCTCCACGCGCCCCCCGCTCCACAGCCCGGCCCCCGCCGCACCTGCCCCCGCCCCACGGTGGAGGGAGAAGGCCGCTTCACCAGCCGCGGGACCTCCGCTCCCGGACTCACCCCCGCGCCCCCGACCCAAGATGGCGGCGAAAGGGAGAGCGGCCGCCAAGCACGCCGGGATATGAAATCGCAAGGACCCTTTAGGCGACCCTAATACTGCCTGACTAGAAAACGCTCGGTGGAAGGGTGACTAGACTCCAGCGACGGCCCCTCCATCCCTCTCTGCCCCTTTCTCCATAGGCAAAAACCCTGCGAGGGCGTGGTTGAGCGGCTATGCCTGACAGGCACCCGCTAAAAACCAATCTGGAGGATAGGCCCCCTGAGTTTGGTGGTTGCTATGGAGACCAGCTCTGTCCAGCCTGAGGCCTCTGTGTGAGTCTCTCCTGATTGTCGCTGATAATAGACCCCCCCAGTGGGGGGAGGGGAGAGAGCATCCCAGTGCAGGGCCCCCCGGGTGGAGGGCTGTGGGGCCCCTGGAGCTAGAGAGCGGGCAGCCCACCGGGAGCATGTCGAAGCCCCTTGCGGGGGGGGGGGGGCATGGGGTCCCCCATGCTGCCCCTGGCCCCAGGGAGCACAAAGGCCTGTAGACCTCAGGCTCAGACCAGCCAAGCCGACCCCTCCTGTTGAGTGCCCACGCGGGCAGTCGTTTCTCCCCCGCCCTGGGGCTGCCCATGCCACGGCCATGGTGGGTGCAACTCCCACTCCCCCGCCATTAAACACAGCCTGGAAACCTCGGGGATGGGTTAACAACGTACAGAAACCAGGCACCAGTAATGGAATGAACTGGAAAGGGGGCAAAGTGCAGCCGAGCCGAGGCAGTCCCAGCCGCGGGCAGGCCACGGTTACGATGGACAAACGGGCAACCGCGGAGGATTAAACCCCAACTGGCCGGTTTTAAAAAGAGGCCTTTAACCCAGCGAAGAGAAGCAACTAACAGCGGCTGGGTTGAGGGGCAGCTGGGGGGTGTAATACAAACAAGTGCAATAAGATGTGCATGAGCCATCACGCTGATCACTCTGCTTGTGTGTTGTGCCCGCAGCCCTACCTCTGTGTTTGGTCTTTTTTTTTGGCGGTGAGCTCTTTGGAGAAGAGACTGTGTCTTCCTATGCACTGGGACAGCCCCTGGTGCTTCTTCAATGCTACTGTAATAGTAAATAACTTTAAAATTTACTTTTAATCCTTTGTTTAGATCTGGATTGAGGATTTGGGATTCATTGGAACAAAAGGTTTCAGAGTAACAGCCGTGTTAGTCTGTATTCGCAAAAAGAAAATCATCGGATGAAGTGAGCTGTAGCTCACGAAAGCTCATGCTCAAATAAATTGGTTAGTCTCTAAGGTGCCACAAGTCCTCCTTTTCTTATTGGAACAAAAGCACATTCTTAAGTGTTTTCCTGAATAGGAATGGACTTAAGCATGTGCTCAGCTGTTTTCTAGAATCAGGGCCTTGTCTCTGACATCTATCATTTCCCCCATGCAGCTAATGCTATTGTATTAGTGTAAAATTATGAATTCGTGTAAAATTTTGAAAAGTGCCATAAGTGACTTAGCAGCCTAAACTCCATTTTCAGAAGTGACTTTTGCTGAAAGTTTGGCTCCTAAGTGACTAAGTCACTTTTGAAAATTTGATTTAGGCTCCCAAGTAGCTCACATGCTTTGAAAATGTTAACCAACTCTATGATAGACCCCTCACTCCTGGGGGCTGAGGGTTCAATCTGAGAAGGTGCTGAGCCCTCTGGCTTTGATGCAGTAAAGTACTTAAACACTCAGCACTTTGCAAGATTTAGCACTATTAATGACATTTTAAAAAAAAGCACTGGAGGAACTGTTTCAGGCATCTGATAATATGATGTACTGTAGAGCACATTTGCCAGCTTTGACTGTGTTCACAACTGCTCCCACATAGGGAACATGAAAATCAGTGATGTTCCCTTTGCCAAATCCTACTTATTTTGTCAGCATCAGTAGGTTGAGCCCTAGAACCACTGTATCTTGGAGAGGATCCAGTGTGGTGAGGTCCAACTATGCTGAAAATGCTTGCCTCTGTGTTAGCATGCCCTGATAATATGATTCCTGCAAGAGTTCGCAGCCACTGAACTCCAGGTCAGCTGCTGCTCCTGGATTCCCTTCACAGGGTTCTATATTAGAGATGGAGCAAGGAAGTTAATGCTGAAGGAATTTGTATTAATTATTCTTATTTTAACAGCACCAAAAAGCATGCTAGATTCCTCTCTGTACAGCCAAAGGATGTGATCCCTGCCTTTACAAACTTAACTTACCTGAAAAATCCCACAGGTTTCCAAGGGGGTTGGTGCCACAGAGAGTGGCTGTCCCTGAAGTCCTGTCTTCACCTATGCTATGCAGGCTAAACTCTATGTAGGAACTTCTGCAAAGGGGGCTCTTCCATGCTCCCCCCCCTCAATTCCACTAGGTTCTCATCCCCTCCAGCCATGTATCAATATTTATTTTTTAAAATCAGCAACTTGCTTTCTGACATTTGTAGTGCTAGTCAGGGTTCTGTACAGCCATTGTCCAATAAAAGCGAAGGCTTTTCTTATTTAAGCCTCCGCTGCTATGTGAACTCACCAGTCTGACTCTGCCAATATGCTGGCAAAACACAGTGAATTAGGGGTCAAGTGGCAGCCCCTGCTTTGAATTTCCTCACTGGTACCCATGATTATCATCACTTCTTAATCGGCTGAAAGGAGCATTTCAGAGTGATGCAAGGTGTTTCCTGAGTTTCCCACCCCTGCAGCTGTATCAATCTACCAGGTGGCAGGATGGAGAAAGACATGACTACAAGGCTCTCACCTAGCAATGTGTGGGCTGTAATCCCCAAAGGGGTACCGGGCCAAACCATTTATATTGTTTTTTTTTAATTATTCCCAAACTTCCCCTCCCTTTAGGACAGAAGGGAGAGCATATGATAGTTTGCTCATCACCCCAAAATCTTGGGGGAAGCTCTGAGTCTCTTCACATACCTTGTCTTTTCTTGTAATTAAGATTTGATCAAGGAGTTCGGTTGAGTACAATAATTAGTGTTGATGCCAGTGACTGAATCAGGATTGTCTTTTCTGTGTGTATAGCTTTAAAAGTTGACTTCAACTAGAGGAGCTCCTTATTTGTAATATTTCTCAGTACACCAGACAGTGGTTTCCTCTACATCTATAATAGAACATAAACCCTGGCAGAGCTTACTGGTTTGGCACCAACATTTGCTGAGTATATGGATATACGAGGAAGCATACAGGAGGAACAAAGACAACATTAGGCTTTAGAGAAACATTACATTCCAGCTTTAAGTTTTCTTAAAAGGCATTAATATCTTGAATTAATTATCTCCTGGATAGAAGTTGCTGATGGGGAGGAGGTGAAGCTATTAAATTCTGCCTTTGTATCAAAAGAAGTCAGTTTTTCCTACAAGAACCTTCAACTATTTTATTCTTCTTTTAAAATTGCTGGCATAATAATCTGTCACAGCTCTTTCACAGAGAATCTTTTGAACCGTATTGTCATCTTTGTGGCTGCACACTTTATATAAACCAGATGCAAAGGGACTCGTCTCATGTAGTTTAGACCCAAAATTTCTGAATATGAATATAAATATGAATATGAATAAAACACATTTTTAATTTAAAATATATCTCTACCACAACATTGTACTAGTGCACATTAATCCAAAGGGAAACTATCTAAGGCATTTATAACAAGCAAAATTCAGTCAGAGGGACTTGTATTTTCCACTTCTTCCTTGGATTACTAGTTTCTGAGTATAAGAAAAAAAAATTTTTTTTTACACTAACTTGATTTACTAGACTAATTTCACTGTCAGAGTTAAATGAAAAGAATAAACAAACATCATTAATGATGACAAGTAGAAATCAGAGTAGCAGCCGTGTTAGTCTGTATTCGCAAAAAGAAAAGGAGTACTAGTGGCACCTTAGAGACTAACTAATTTATTTGAGCATAAGCTTGTGAGCTATCGCTCACAAAAGCTTATGCTAAAATAAATTGGTTACTCTCTAAGGTGCCACTAGTACTGCTTTTCTTTTTGACAAGTAGGAAGTATTTTGACATTCTTTGTTTTAACAATCTAGGTCATATCAGTAACAGTTGTAAAGGCATTTTTTAAAATGTGATTTCTTTTGACAGTGTTCATTTAAGAGACAAAGCTGAAACAATCTTGGAACCGTTAGTGATTATCTTTGAGATCTCCTGGAGGATGGATGAGGTACAGAGGATTGGAGAAGGGCAAACATAGTGCCTGTCTTTAAAAAGGGGAACAAAGAGGACCTGGGGAATTATATAGTAGTCAGCCTAACGTTGATACCTGGAAAGATGCTGGAACAAATTATTAAATAATCTGTTTGTAAGCACCTAGAGAATAATAGGATAATAAATAATAGCCAAATGCCAAACCAACCTAATTTCATTCTTGGATAGGGTTACTGGCCTAGTGGATGGGGGTAAACAGTAGACATGACATACCTTGATTTTAGTAAGGCTTTTGACACATCCCACATGATATTCTCATAAGCATACTAGAGGAATATGGTCCAGAGCAGTGGTTCCCAAACTTTAACAACCTGTGAACCCCTTTCACTAAAATGTCAAGTCTCGCGAACCCCCTTCTAAAAATGAATATTTCCAGGGATTTTCTCCTTTACCTGAATATAAATTATAAAAGCATTGATCTTGCAAATATAAAATTTGTTTTTATGACATGCTTATTATACACTATTTATTATTATTTATCATTACAGTATTTTTATTACATTATGAAAACGGCAACACTCTTCCAAGATCTCACTTTCATAGCTTGTATCACTTGAATAAGTCTGTTATAAGACAAGGCTCCTAGGTTTCATCAAGGAGTATCAGATGTGAAACAGCAGGAAGGGATTTAAGAAGCCAACTCAGAGTTCCTCCTACACAAGCGTTCAGGTCTTGCGCAGTCCTGGCAAACAACGCACGGTACAACAAAGCTTAAACTTGTTCTTCATCGTAATTTTAAAAACAACACTAGCTGCCTATTTAATTTTAAAAACAGCAAAACATATCCACCTCCCTTTCCATTTCTTCTAAGGAGTCTTGA